CATTTTTATACCTCAGAAATAAAGCGTTAGGAATAAAACGTAAGTAAAATAATTACTCTCACAAACAATTTAAATTGTACCTAAAATATGTTGTACATCAAAATGGAATTTTTGTTTGGCAAAAATTACAAAACTCCGTCCCTTTCCTTTCTGGAGTTAGACTTATACAGAGATACGTTGATTAAAATTTTTAATATCGCCCTCTGCTGTTCTTTTTTTACTCATCAAACTCATCTATAGTTACCACAATTTCTAAGAACTGAGTTCGTTTTGCTTATTACAAAATATATACTGTTTTTATGGGAATTCGTCATTGACGTGTAAAAGCACTATTGAAAATACACTGTCAATTAATCAAAATTTACAAAATTTATTTTTATTAAAAAAAAATGGGAAGAAAGTTTTTTATGTTATAAAATTACCTGGTTTAAGAAAAAGTAATTTAAACTACGCATTTTTTTGTGAAAGAAAAAATGCCCTAATTGTTTTAGTGTTTTTCGTTATTAGATTTTGGAATAGATTTTGGAACAGCTTTTGTTAAATATCATAATAGAGTAAAAAAATAACTTTTTTAAAGGACGTCTCTAAATTACTTTTTGCTACTTGGTTGAGCAAAATCTTTACATTATCATTTAAATCTATTCCCTATTCAAAATATAAATAAATACATGAAAATATCGAGTTATACGTATGCATTCCATCATTGCCATTGTAATTAGATGTCTTACCGTTTTAATATATCTTGTCATATGAACAGCAAAAACAAGATTAAAATAAAAGAATTCAAAATATACGTGAAATCAAAATTTGATAAATTTTGATATCTTTAAAAAGATAGCTAATGATAACAGATTTTCTTATAAATTCATTTAAACCAACATTTTACACACCTAATTCAATATATCCAGCACGATTCTATTTTCCACACAAAAGTAAGCAATATGGTCCAGGTTAGGATAAAGTAATGTTAGTACGTTTTTAATCCCTATCAAATAAAGAGTGAAAATGAGTAAAAATTATACTACATATCAAAAAGCCTTACTCGTTAACAGTCTATTTGGTCTATACGCCTATTTGAGGTAGAATAATCTGAGGCTGAGTGATTTTTACCGAGTTCTGAATGACATTTCTGTATTAACTTAGTATTATTCAAGCAGGAAAAAACCGGTAACATTACTAACTTTATACCACACAAAATTATAAACCCGTAATAATTTCAAACTAACTTCCTTATTCATGTATAGTGTATAGGCTAAATATATTTTGTGACTAACAATTGAGTTATTTGGCAATTTGGTCAAATAGCCAATATCTTAGCAAAAAACACATCGCTAGAATAAAATTGTTTTGTGGATGCTAATTTCTTTCATCTTGTACATATGTTGGATCTTGTTACAATAAATATTTTCGTTGGCTTATAAAATTTTTTTTAAGTAATCCTGGTTAAGAACAGTGATTGAATATGGTGAAATCACGTACAGCTATGAAAAAGGAATCCTAATTTATCAACATAAAATCATTTAGCTATTTAGCTATTTTTGCGAAATCAAACAGCTCAAATACTTGAATTGCGTAGGTGACTCTTTGTTGAAAACTAAGAAAATATACATGACTAAGAATTAAATCTAAGAGTACCAATCAAAACTCTTGAGATGGCAAAAACCGTCTGTGCGATACAAAAAACAAGCTATGTCATGTTTTATCAAGAAAAGTCATTTAGCAAGCGTTAAAGTTGTCAAGTTACTGCCGTAATGAACGTCGTATACAGGTAGAGTTTGAATATACAGATTCGTTACAAGTTGGAAGTCCCATGGATGAAGCACGAGTAGGCCTAAGGAGTTAATGAGAAGGTCATTAGGAAAAAGTTACTACTGCAAGTTTGACGTGTGTGGAAGTTTATAACAGTTACAGGAAACTAGTTAACTTACTAACCGCAATCAAGAGAGTGTGAGCGAGAAGTATCAACATACTGCGTATTTCTGTGTGGGTGAATATCATAAACTTGTGTTGGTAGCTATAATCGCAATTAGTTTGATCGCGTCAAAATTATAGTGATTTTTACCAAGATTGATTTATAGTATTGTAACCGTTTTAGTGACTTTGCATACGGTTAATAGTCTGCACGGTGACAAGTTTCCAATTTAAAACAGTACTTATGTTGAAGTGTTAAAACTATTAAAACACAGGTTGTTAACTATTGTATTGTTTAAACAATTTTATTTAAACATCTTTGCCACTAAGATTGATTTTCGAATAAATAATAGGTTACGTGTCTAGGGATGACTAGTTTCGGGTCAAAGACCCATTATCAAATCCTTGTCAACATCAAATTGGAGTTACGTTACCGTAGTCCTAAATCCGACAGAAGTCTTCACCAACACGTAAATATGGTTCAAAGCAAAAAAGTTCACAATTTAATACAACAATTATTTAAATACATTTAAAAGACGATAGATATGCCGTCCACATTGATAAACGGAACAAACTGACACACGTTACACGGCGGACACGAATGAACTAGTTCGTAAAATTTGCTTAACTTTTCATTTGTGATAGGATAGCAGAAGTGAGAAACGTAATTCATCACAATAATAGAGTACAAAACGTGTTGATGGTTGATAAAGAATGTAGGCTATGAGTAGAAACATAAACTAAACTAAAATAAAACAAAAATGGTATTAATTACTATTCTAATCACCAGGTTGAGTTAACGTTAATATATTTTCAATACTGTACTGTGATTTCAAACTAAAAAAGTGTGATGAATTTGTAAGTAAGCTGTGCTGTACACAATAACCATTTATAAACGATGTTTTGCATAAACAGGACTTAACCTAAGCCAAGTTTAGTAATAATTATATTAATAACCATATTGTGCATTGTATAAATTATAAAATTTGTTGACTTTTCCATTGTAAAAGCATCAAGAAAGTTGTTTAGTTTATTAATTAATTATAATTAAAAAAAACAACAACTTCATCAACAACATTTAGAATCTGGTTCACCCTTGAGATAAATTGAAAAACACTAACATTGTTGCCAAACTTATGATTGCAGGTTGAGTTTGAAAATAAACATCATTTCTAGTTGAATCCCATGAGCAAGGAGCTAATGAGAAGGTCATTAGGAAAAAGTTAGGACTGCAAGTTTGACGTGTGTGGAAGTTTATAACAGTTACAGGAAATTAGCTAACTTACTAACCGCAATTAGGAGAGAAGGATTGAGTAGGAGGGGAGACATCCAATTTGACAATTTGAATGATTTATCTTCTCTTAGTTAGGGCACAGGTCTACTCAATCCATTGTAATCTAATTAATCTTAGTCGAAAAAAGACTTAGTTGATGTTATGTAATGACTATGACAATTTTATGAAGGTAGAATAGGAAAAAAGGGAAGAGAGAAAATGTTAAATATTGTGTTAAATATGGTTCAATATAACATATGTAAAAAATAAATTTGCTATTTAGACACATAACACAATCAAAAATGATTTAAAGGGAGAAACAAAGGTTTTTTTCACCAAATATCCCGTTAAACTTTGTTGCCACAAGTGTTTACTTAATCATTCTTTTTTGTCCCCCAGACTAAAATAATGCTCTAAATGTACGTGCATCTCTTAAAAACTGGGTTTTTTCTGGACAGTTTTAAGTGCCTAAACCGTACCATAATACGTTCAAAAACTGCAAAATTGTTATAAGAGTCCCTGTTTTTTGTTTAGGTGGAAATCAAGAGTCTTGTGAGTAATTGTTAAATTAATTAGGCCATTTTTTATTTATGTAAACCTCAAACACAAAGTTATAATTTGAAAAAAGAAATTTCCCCTTCATTCTAATATTGTCACTAAATGGGCTATTTATCGTAATTACAGAGAAACAAAATTTGAAACGATTAGTTTCTCCCATTCAAAATATTATTTTCACGTTTTCAGTGACACTCAAAAACAAATTTACCAGAATGTAGAAGATGGTTCAAATCATGTGCGAGAAGGTGAAAAAAACAGGGGATCTAATCAATTAGTCAAAATATGAACTTACAGACTACACACGCAATTTCGTATTCATATATTATACTGATAATTGATTATTAAATAATTGATAATTGAAAGAAAAAAATTGAAAACTGAATGGCAGATCCAAGTATTTTTGCATAGTGGGCACTGTGCATAGAAATTCATGCTGTCGTTGTACATAGATACTCTATTGAAAAGGCACAGTTTGGACGTGGTTTAAGGCCTACCATACACGTTCCGGTTTTCCTTCAGTCCCGGACTGTACAGTCATGGACTGAAGGAAAAACTGAACGTGTATGTCGATTCCTTCAGGCAGATCGTTGGCCGGACGGCCGGACGTGGAACACATCCGTCCAGGCCCGGCCTTGAGGCCGATTTGAACGTGTATGGTGAATCTCGCAGTCCAAGACAGTGCTGCTTCCCCCTTCCCCTTATAAATTTTAAGCATTATCGCATTCGCATCCTTTCTTCATTGTGAGTCAACTACTGGTGAAAAGCATAATCGGAGCTGTGTTGTTTGTTGATTTGTTAGTATAGTTTTCGCATTTTGGCGTTGTAGTGTTGTGTGGTGATTTCGTTACTTCACATTAATCATGTCTACCTGGTCAAGAGACTTGACACTCGAATTCATAGAGAAATACCGAGGTCACGAATGCATCTGGAAAATAAAAAACAAAGAATACCACAACACAGGTGAATGAGGGATTTTGTGAAGAAGGCGGACCTAAAAGCCAAAAAGGACACTGTGGTTAGAAAAAATTAAGAAGTGCGTTTAGAAAAGAGTTGAAAAAAGTAAAAACTCCAAACTGTGCAGTTCCGGACTGAGCGTGTGTGGGGAGGTCATGACTCCGGCCAAACTGTGCAGTTCCGGACTCAAGGCTCGGCCTAAGCACGGTGCACTACCTAACTCTTTAGGATCCATCCAAACGTGATAGGCCGATAAAATGTTTACAGTACATGTTAACGTTTAATGATACAAATATTTACTTACGTATTGAGTTCAAGATCGAGGCGAAATTTGTGGTTGAAAGCTTTAATGAGCAACGACGTCCGATGAAAGTGCTTCCCCGTCTGAAAAAGAAAGTGAATCATTAGATTATAAATAACTAATTAGACTAAACGTTCATTAGATTACAGTATTTACCGTGTATTGCAGCGCTGATTGGTATTATTGTGGTTTGTTCCATTTAAAATAAGTTATGAGTACAATTAGGTAAAAAGACATTGAAATTATTCTATAGATATGAGCCATAAGTAAATAGTGCAAGAAATAAATATACTAATTAATAACATCATCCAACCAGAATACTATACATGGCTGGTCACTAGTCACTTTTGGGCACAGCTAGATCACCTGCAATAAAAGATGCATTTGAGGAGAAATACATTTTTTAAATATTGAATACGTATCACGATGATGTGATTCGAAATGTTTAATAATAAACACTAAAGTAAAGTTTGGTATTGCACTCTTTGCAGGGATCTATGATTACTTTATCTTATATACACTGTATCATTTTATTATACCTACAATTGGTATAATAAAAGAAAATAAAAACGTCGTTAAAATAGCTTGGCCTAAAATAGATCAATAGGACAGTGTGAAATCATAGTTATATTGGGTAACCCTATTAAGATGAGAGCACCTTTAATTCATAATATATGCGGTACAGTATTGTGAAAATGTAATATTGATTTGTTGTAATCAAACTTCAAGTTGTATTTTACATCAACAAACTTGTACGCATGACCAACTTGAACTGTCCGTAAACTTTCTTGTTGGGTGAAACGCACATAAAATCAAAGGCTAGGTTTTACAAAGGCTGCTTGATTTTATTTCGAGACAAGGTTTAATTAACACTGAACCGAAAGTTCGATGCGTATTTCCGGAATAAATAGAAAACTGGGAATCAAATAAACTTTTATATGAAAATTTTAAAATGCAAACTGTGACAAAAATTGTAATTTGAACTGGCCATGAGTTAAGGGAGAGGATATTGAAAAAGTTGGCAGAGCGACAGAGAAATTAAACCCTCCGCTGACAACCGAATGGTGGTTTAGGATAATCCTGGTTAGCAATAAACATTGTACGTGGTAGTTTCGTACGCGGTTCTGATGGTGGTTGAAATATTGTTGACTGTAGAGTGGTTTGTTTCATACACCATTCAGTTATAAATATCTTTAAATGGTTGTAGGTATTTCAAAGAAAATTTTTGTTTCGTTGATTTTTACCAAAAAAAGTAATCAAAAACTGTTACATGCAGCCAAATTGTAATTTATGACCACACAGCAATATTGGGACGGTAAAAAATAGATACAAAAATATTTAGAAAATACATTGTTATTGTTAGAAAGTTGATCAGTCTTTTGTTGAGCCAGATTAACATTGATATACATGCATTGGCCAAGTATACTTAAAACTATTGAAAGATTAACTTAAAATAAAACTTCCTTCAAAATTAGACAAAAAATACAAAATAAAATTGAATCTAGAACGATCTATCTAACTACCAGTATTTAGAAATATAGTTAAGTGCTTTGATACTACGAGGTTGAAAATTGTTACGAAAAGGATATCAATACAATGACTAGGTTTTCTTGACAAATGATAAGGTTAGTGTATTGTAAAATAGATTGGCAAGTGAGAACTTTATGTGAGCAGAATTAGGAACGGTAAAGGTGAAAAATCCGGAATTCACGACCAACTTATTAAATTGAACTTTATTTTAACACTGTCTCTCAAGGGTTTATAGTTCAAGGCAAAGATGAGAAGGTGAGTCAAGAACGAACAAGATTGATTTGTCACTGGCTGATATAAAATAACTAATAAAATGATCAATTATTTAAAGCCTAACAGGTTAACTACCAGGTGATACAGAGCTTCTTATAAAGAGGAGTGTGACGGTAGGCAACGTGTTAATTATCAATAAAGCCAGTTTTTGTTTCGAAATGCCAAATGGTGTCTCAAACGATTACTAGGCGAGCTCTTTAACAAAACATATTAATAAATCAACTAAATTTTGACAGAACAGGTCAGTTTTGATCTATTTTTGGACATAAAGGTATTTCAATTAACACTCGCAAATTAAAATGTCCTAAAAGGTGAGAGGTGGCGACTAAGGGAATAACGTTTAACAGTAGTTACTATAAATCTTTAAAAAATAAAGCAAAACGTACAGATCAGATAAAGTCATATCTAACCTACAATGTTTTTAACCGAAAAAATATAACCTAACCTTTTTTAACACAAAAGGAGTGATATAAATGTTATACAGTATTCAATATTATGTTAAGATGGATTACACATACGATCAGAACCAAAACCACTTGTCCAAAACACGCGGCACATACTATGTACGATAATGTCAACATACATTAGAAGAAAAATAAGATAATTTTTTATAAGTGATCTTGATAATTAACTAGGACGATAACTTGAAGACAAACCACCACGCCAAATCACCACAAACAAGGTCTTCAATACGGCAGGAATAAAATCATGTTTTTATTTTAAAATACCAAAAGTATGGATCAATGAGTGCAATTACATGCGTTGTCATGACAACTAACTGTAGTCATCACACCCACTTCTACCTCCTCCGCCCCCTCTCTGTATCCTCCTCCTTTACTTGCCTTTAATTACATATAACTACATCTGAAGAACCATGTCATTTGTAGTCCTTAAAGGATATAGAAAGGGTTGATCAACGGTTACTTAATTTTCTGTTTCTTCATAAAATCATATATTACCCCATTTGTTAATTGGCTTATATTAACATTAATATTGCCATTGGCTTTAAAGCCTTGTTATTGTATTTCTTGTATTCCCAAGTAGAAAAAATAACACTAAGTTGTCCCTGTTCGATCTCAGTGATAGAATTTAGAATCAATGCGATGGAACTGAATGTAGTGATTTCCTCATGATAAAAAGGTAAATCGGTCCTGGATCCAGGTCCTACCATGAGACCTACAGTAATATCATTGGCTATTGGATAGTCAAAGGTAATAGCTTATTTCCTATAAGAGAAATTTGCAAAACGAATAGGGTTATTTTGAAACTACTATTACATTTGCACAGAAATAACCAAATAACTTCGGCGATTGGTCGCATCTCTATCCTGGATTTCCACTATATCCACACTGTCAAACCTTTGTAGCTGGAGTTATCCATGAATAATTATCCACAGATAACCTCATAGTATCAATTTATAAACGTAGATATTTCAGTAACCCATCAGATTTTCTGGAATAAAACCAATAAGCAAGAACAATACTTTTAATGCCTATCACAACCCATTACTTACAACATCCTTTCTGATTTCCAAACCAATAATCTGAAATCAATCTGGAACAGACTCAAGAGAGAGGGTCGCTTATTAATTTGTTCTACTCGACGCGTTAGAACGCCGAATTTGGGAAGCATGGCCGTCGTTGCCTAGCGACCGGTACACATGATAATGGAATCGATCGCCACGCCCCTACCGGTCATCCAGCACACTATTGACACAGTTTCCACACCGGCAGACAGCTGCTAGCTGCTAACCCCCCCCCCCTTTACAATGACTGTTGATTGTATTAGGTTTGCGTAATTGAGTTGACTTCTGCCGGCTTAACAGAGCTGGAAATCCAAGAACTGACATAATTGCCTGGCGTTGAACTGAATGATTGAAATTACAACGCACAATTGATTGGAAGGGTGAGCTGATTTGATTTTGTTTGGGTTGGAGAAACTAGGTGTTAAGACGGATTTTGTGATTATGAATGATTACACGGTTGCTTTGCTATTGGAAAAAAGCTGGCAAACAACATGTGGAGGGTAAATTTAACAGGAGGTTAAATTGTCTCACTATGAACTCAAAATGATTCCTAGATAAGAAATGGCAAGAAAATACCAAACAGATATTAGAGACGTATGCAGATTGTATTAGATTGAATGCTGTAGGGGCGCAGTTAGAAAGGACTACAAAATAGGGCAGTCAATCAAGTTAAGACATTTGAATTACAGATACACCAAATTAACCATTACATACACAATTAACATACACCATTAAGGCATGTATGGCTCTGCAATTCAGAAGGTTGCCAATTTTATACCAAGGATATTCACTGCAATTCGACATTGATCTGTTATTTCATAATTTTGTCTAACATAAGTTTTATAACATTACATAGTAACTGGATAAGGAATGGTTTCTTACAGTACACATTGTATGATACAATAAACGTAAATAGCTTCCAATGCAATAATGTGCGGACGGAATGCTTTTAACTGATAGCAGTTTTAAAAACGTCAATAGGACGTGCTCGATGGCGTAAATTCAAATTTTCTATTCCAAAATGCAAGGCTTCAACAAAATGTAAAGCATTCAAAAACAGAAACATTCACTCTTTTATTAACAACATTTATTAAATCCAAATGTAAGCTGTCATGCAATACCTATGTAAAATTTATAGGTTATCGTTTTGAAACATGGTATGATTTTTTAATAGACACATGTTAGAAAAAAATAACTTAGCCCAATTAAAAATCTCAAAATGGTCTAAATTTTTAAAATAAGTTTAAAAAATTTGCTGTTGTTGTTTTAGTTCTTTAAATTTGTAATAAAAAAACAAACGCACGACCCATCTTCAAATATTTCAAGTGAAGTTCAAAACACAAGCATATTTCTGCTCGGGCGGGAACTGTGTAAATTAACCTAATAAACATAATTTTCCAGACCATCGAAGTTCTTAAAAACTACACCAGTTCTAAAATAATTCCGCGATGAAAGTTGAACGCTTTACCTGGCCAGGCTCCAAGCCGACAAACTCAGCGCAAACTTTCACGAGCCATTTGCACGAAACTGTCTGCGAATAAAGAATCTTGTGTTATTAGGGTTTCCTTAAAAATAGGTCCAGTTATGTTTTCATTTACTTTCCACAAAAGTAAATTTATTTCATTATGAAACGAAGGGGAAACCCAATTTATAAGGATATCAAATGATTTTAGGATGCAGATTTAGATCAAAACATAACCTAACTGAGAAAGAAATATTTATATTTCAATATCACTGTTGGATATATATCAGTTC